GACAGTCTGACTGTGGAATTTAATTCTGGATTGCAGCCTACTGTATTTTATCAGATGACATTCCTGTAACTGTAGCCCATGAAAGTGACACTCCCATGGGTTATAACACTGCAGAGACCAAGAAGACAAAATTGCTCAAGCTGCATTTTAATTTACTACTTTTGCATATACTGTTTTGGGGGGGTTCTGGAACGCTTCCACCAAAACAAATGTGGGCACTTTTACATCATTTTAAAGAGACAAATATAACTTGCTTGCAAGTGTCAGCTCTAAGGACATACTCACAAGATAAATGGAAAACTTCCGCTTCTTTGTCATCCTCCTACCATCTATTTAGGCACAGCCAGGGAAGTAGCATGGTTCTTTGTAATGTGCTTTGTCAGCTAGGAGACACACAGCTTTTGCAGACTTCCATGAGACACAAATTCTGAAAATCTCTTTTTCTCCTAAAACCGTCGTTCAGTTTAGTCCACAGTCTCCAAGTCTCTAGGATCATCTCTGCTATCAAAGGGGACTGTAGTCACAAGCAATAATCTTCCATTAGCAGCTGATACTCAAAACCAAGGACATGGTTGCAGGTGTTTGAGTGCCTGTTTGGCTCTTCTGATTACTGGGGGAAGGGAGATCTGTTCTCCTAAGGAACTAAGGGTGCAAGCCACGTGGGACAGGGTACTAATCCTGCTGCCTAGTGTGTTGTGTTGTATTGATAATCCTCCAAAAGCAAGTTGAGAGGAAGATCATTGGGAAAAAATGACTAACCAGAACAAAATCTTAAGACATTAGAGGTATATTTCAGCTATATATATCAGTGATGAGGGTCATATTATAGAACACATAGAAGAGCACCAGAGACACAAAGCCTGCCTCAAGGAATTTATGATCCAAAAAGACAAGAACTAAACAGCAGTTAAAATACATAAAGCAAAACATGAACAGAAGTTGGCATCATAATACAGAAGTGCTGATGTTCTACTGTGGTTTTAATTTCGTAAATACAGTATTTGTGAGTGGTTGTCGTATAGCTCACCACCCCTGTATCTCCATGTGAAACTTTGGTACCAGGCTGTGAGAGCCCAGGACATTTGTTTTCCCTGGTGGCCTAATTCGAAATCTGTCTTATATATTTATATGCACAAAGTAGAGTTCTGTACTTGCTCGTTTTGGGAAGTATCTTCTTCTGTATTTCTGCATGTTTTGCTAAACAGTGTAAGGGAACTTGAAGTTATCTTGGAAGTTCAATTAAATAAAGACTTGTGTATTCTGCTGTCTACATTTGCATTTGTGAAGCACAGTAAGAAAATAATGCCAGTAAGTTCCATTTATAGACTAATAATGTAGCCTTGGTGTTTTGGAGTTTATATAATATGCTGTAGAGAATAAAAATAAATTAAACTGACCCACCCTGCATATACAGAAATTATTATTTTTTTCTACCAACATTCAATTTCCACAACTGGGGCAATATAAAAAATAAAATATCGTGTAAGGAAACAAATCTGAATGGGCCTTTACTGCCTGAGTGACAATCAGTTGACATTCAATTATCACGTTAATTGAATTAAAGCAAGATAGAAATTACTTAATTCTATAACTATATGCTCCTGTCAAGTTACTTATTTAATAATTGTTGCTTGCTTGATGGAGGACAGGAAAATGACCTTATAAGAGATTTCTGAGATGGTAAAAATAAAATTAAATATTCCTACTATACACTATAGATAAGAACAGAACCCTACTTCTTGATACAGGAAAAATGTTAAATGTATTATTGGATATTATGTGTTTCATAATTTGACACTGTTTTAAGCATGAAACTCAAAAGAGCTTCTACTATTTTCTAGACCACACTTGAATGGTGATACAAGCCTTTTTCATCCCCAAAAGTGCTGCAAGGATGCAACTCTGTTACACTTACTACAACACAAAACTATTTATGCCTGAGGGCTAAAAATTCTCACAGCTGCATTAAAAAAAGAGGTTGGGAGGAGCAGCTGACTCACTCATACCTGTTTGAGGTGCTGCGAGAAATGTTGAAGACGCTCCCCACTTGTCCTGCCTTCATAAGCCCCCAGTACAAGTCCAGTCTAGAAGAAAGTCAGGGAACTGGTACCCACTGCCAGGGCCAAATTCATTTGCCTTCAGAGAAAAGTATTGACAGCCAGACCTTGTTGCTACTCATATTACCAGTTGTTACTCCCAGACAAGCAGAACTTAGCCTAATGTTTAGTCTAAGCCAGGACCAATCAGAAGTTCCAAACCCAGCATGAGGATGATTAGCCTACTTGTATGCTGACCCAAAGAGTGGGCACCTTCAAAAGGACAACAGCATATAGACAGTGAGAGCTCAAGCTGTTGTCCTCAGAGGACATGCCAATGCCCTCAACAGGGGCAGAGTGGTGTGAACTGATCACCCTCCAGACAAGGCATCCTGCAGGGACCATTCTTGCCAATGCAAAACATCAAAGTGGGCTGGGGTCATCTAACTTTTCACCCCTCAGTAAGGACGTTTTCACTATAATGACCTTCTGTTACATCATTTGTATTACCAGGGAAGACATGGTGTTGATGTGACTGTTATTCAATCACCAAAAGAGTAAAGAAAAGAGGCCAAGTCAGTGTGTACACTGAACATGGTAGATGCATTGGTAGGAAATAATTAAATAACAACTGTGCAGTGATGTTCCTGTGAAGTAGTGATGTTTTAAATGGAGATTTACAGAATCGTTGTTAGCTTCATATTATTGAGTTAACCTTGTGCAATATGACTATTTGCGGGAAAAGTCAGGTCCCAGAGGAGTCTTTCAATTATGCTGTGACTGTAAGAGCACAGCAGGAGTGTCTGTTTTTTGTATTTGTGTAATGCAAAATAAAACCCAGTGTGGAAGCAGTAGATACATGATCTTTTGAAGAACATTATTCTGTGTAAAATTCTTTGTTCAGCTGTTTTTAAGTTGGCTGTCAGAATGATAGAGACATTGCAATATACAAAGCAGTATAACTTAGTCTTTGTTCTGTAGGTCAAGCTGAATTCATTTCAGCAGCTAGGAACAGACTGTTGACTAATTTTTTATTAATTTTAAAAACAAATAGTAATTCCCCTAATAATCACAAGCAATTACAACTTAAAAAGCAAATTGCTACTTTTTCATTTTTTTTTTCAGAACAATAGGAGATCAGCAAACACTATATATGTATCTTAATCTGGAGAAATTACAAGGGTGCAAAGATACATTTGCACAGCTAAAACGAATTTTTTTCCCTCTCTGACTTTATATGTACAATTTGAGAAGCCTAAGACTTCTCTGTTTCCATTATGATCTTTTGCTTCCTGGGGAAGCAGCCTCTGAGTTTTGCCAGCCCATATCTGAGTTTTATTCTGTGTCTGAAAGCAAAGCCTCAGTGAAACAAAAAATTGTTTCATGAACACATTCTTTATAAAAATGGTGTTGTACTGGATTGTTCCAGCTGACACTAACACTCTCACTTTGTAGTCTGCAACCGTATTGTCCTCTGTGTGTACACTCTGTGCTGTCAGGTCCTCTCCATTACTGCTAGTTTTACTGGAGCATTGGGAGATCAAAAGAGAACACTTTAAAGTCTCATAAAATTTATCTTTCTGGGAAGATGTTCATGTGTGGTTTTAGCTGTGGAATTCAGCTCCAAAATTGTCCACCAGAATAGCTTTACCTATCTTTTAGTTTTGAATCAATAGCCCAGTAAACTAAGTAGTATGGAATGGGAGGGGGAAGGTGGATAGTCTTTACTCTCTTATGGAGGCTTTCTGCAGGTGGCCAAGTTGTGCATTTGGCTAGAGAACTGGACAGCAGAAACATTACAGAAATATTATACAAAATATTGTATAATATTATGAATCCTAAATACCCATCCACACACGAATAAAACTCTGGAATATGACTTCAAAATTGTGAAATATAACAGCAATTAAAAAGTACATTTTCTTTCCCTTTATTTGTCTCACTCACTTTTAAACTCTTAGATGTTTTTTAAGCTTTTCCTTTCAACAAAGGAGTCAGTCCTACTTAGTCACATGAAGCCAAGATGCATGCATGACCCCCAAGTCTACCCTTTTAGGAAGAAAAAAACGAAATGTGAAGTAGTGAGAAACTCATGACAATATTTGCAAAGAGAATTGCTGACTTGCTGCTGAATCTGTCATTGACGTGGCTAACAGCTATGCTCCATGGCTCAAAAGCTGATTCTTCTGAGAACTTTCAAACTTAAATATCTACATATGCTTTTCTAACATCATGTTACTGTAGTGCCACAAGGTCTTGTCTAACCCTGCAGATAATCTTTGATCTTGAAATCTGGGCAAAATTGAAGCAATTCTCCAAGGTCTTTAATCTATTATGAGATTGTGCACATGCCACATTTAAAATAATTTGGTGAGTTGAGAGAAATGTACAGAAATAGATACATGCTCCTGAGAAGTTAATTAGACCGATATGAGATGAAGACTGGGATAATGACTAACATTTATTATCCTTAGCAGCTCCATGAAGCTTCTTTGACTGCCCCCAACAGTTTACCCAGGGAAGAGAAAAAGTCTCTTGGCTGATCTGTGTGGTGTTGTCATCTCCTCCTTCATTTACCTCAAATGTCTTTCTGCACATTCTCATCTTCCCCAGAGGGTTTTAACTGATCTCACATGTGGGAGCCAGTGAAGAGGCCCACACTTACTGTCCCTCACCCCTAAAGGTCCCATTTGAAACTACGCCCCACACTTTACTTGGAACAATTAAACCTGAGATACTATGAGGAATATTGTTTTTTCAGTACTGCTGGGTAGTTAAAGGGTGTTTCAGAATTGGAACAATATTTTCTTTGAAATATTTGATGTTTATTATTTCACTCTTTAAACAACATGAGAAGGAAAGCCTGTTTACTTAGAAAGACATTATGAAGATGCATGAGACACACCGATGATATATAAAAACAAAACCAGATTAATTTACCAATGTGACACTCTTTGTTTTTAGGTATACAAAAAGAAAACTGAAGCTGCCAAGAAGGAATATCTGAAGCAGTTAGCTGCCTACAGAGCAAGCCTTGTATCCAAGGTAACACAAAATGTATATACGTACACTCATATATATAGTGACATATTGCAAACTATTTTCAGCATTTATCTGGTGCTGAGCACCATAGTATTTAGTGCAAATAGCCTTGTTTGTTATCAACTTAACCTTAGGTTTAAGTTGCAAATGCTAAATAAACACAGTCATCTCTCTATGGAAAGATATCCTCTGGTCATTAAGACAGCACTTCTTTAGTTTGGGACTAACATCCCAGTTCAAAAGAAGAAGGAGATAGTGGTAAAAAGACCTCAATATAACAAACATGCCATGCCAGGCAGTCGTCATGCTACCTATAAGGGAAAAAAAATATATCTTACACAACATGCCTGGGTTTGGTTTTGGGGGGGGTTTTAAGTACTGATTTTTACCTTGCAATCACAATACAGAAAAATTCAAGCTCAGCTGACATTGCTGATTTTCGTAAGAAAATGTGAATTTACATTTTACATCCAGCAAGCCATTTGTGTGAGCACAGCATAGGTCACCCTTAGGACAATGATGGAATGTCCTTCACTGGAACACACCAGTGTATCCCAGGTAAACAGCTAGTAGCAGTTTTCTAAATTGATTTATTCACTCATTCTTAATACCCATAATTTTTCAGTAAACTCTTTAAGATTTGTAAAATGCTTTTAAATATGCAGAAGAATGTGAAAATACTGCACTGTGTCAATGAGAAAAAACAGTTAAGCAACTATTGAATCATACCAGTTAGAATCACTTGGTTTGGGTCTATCAAAACAAATATTTTGTTCTTAAGAAAACCAGTAAAGAAAACCAATTTTTGAGGCAAAGATCACAGTAAGAAGGACTGTCATATAGGACCTGAGTAGAACTTTTTTGTTAGTTTCAAATTTTTTGGGGGTCGTACACAATCCTTCTCTGTATATTATATTAATTTGTACAGGGAATCGCTATATGATTAGCCATACAAAGACCTTTCATGCATCTTTCTACATTACCTTAGTATTTGCTCAGTGTTTGTTCTGAATTTAAAAGTATGAAATATGGGTGTCACTTTATTGATTTTTGGGGGTTGTGTCTTATGCATTTTAATTTTTTACCTACCATCATAAATACTGTGCATTTAGTTAAAGTGATTTACGAGGTACCTTTAATCTCTGTATTAAGATTGTTTGGTTCCAGAAATACTCATTGCCTTCAGAGAGAATACCATGTGCACAAGCAAACCCTTTTGAAATAGCTTGATTATTGGCAAAAGATAGGTTTAAAAAGCTCAAAACATTCCAATAGCTTTCTAAGAAATGCATGAAGCCAACTTTTCACTTGAGAAAATTATTTAGATGTCATTATTCAGCACATCATGGACTGTTTACGTTACACTCTAAGTAGCTTAATTTTGAAATGTCGCATATACAGAACGAGATTTTTTTGGTTTGGTTTGGTTTGGTTTTTTTAAGAGAAAAAAGTATATTATGGTGTTTTCTGAGGTTTGTTTTTAAAAAAAAAATTGGAAGATTGTTAATTAGTTCAGTGCATGAATCGATTTGTGCAAATATTTAAATTTGTTGTTAGTCAGAAAAGCACTGAAGCATTTTCTTAACTTTTCAGCAGTTATTTAAATTCTACCCATAATTTAATGTTTTCCTCTAGTGTGGAAAGTATAAAAATATAAACTTAATGAAGCTGAGTACTGATTGCTTACTCTCATGAACACACTCAGTGAATCTAACAGAGCTGGCATGTAACTAAAGCAAGTCCATTTTGAAATAAGGATGCAAAATACCCAGTTGTAATATAATATCAGTATATTCTACATTATCATTATTAATTATTTATGTGGCACCAGAAAAGTTGTAGTTCTTTAGACAAGCCTGTAAGCATGAGGAAGTATATATAATACATTATTAAGATTGTTTGGAGTCCACATGGTCTTTTATGCCCATGCCCACATTATTATCCATAAAAGCTACTTTTAGACAGTATTATTAAGATTCCAAGACCTCAATCTCAAAAGCTTAGACATGCCAAAAGTAACATACCTTTACCAAAATGCTTTAATAGAGTATTAATGATTTGCTCACATTATATGTTTTATACTTTATACCTCACCCTATGTGAATCTCATTTCATACACTTATAATCAGGTGTTCACTTTGGGTCCTCCTGAGTTGTATTTACTGCATGTTATTTAACCTTGCTTCTTTACAGGATTTTCTATGCTGCTCATCCCAGCAATGTTTTAGTGCAAATCCTCACTAATATTTGAGAGGAGGAAGTTTATATTGTCCATATTTTCAAACTCAACTAAATCATTGTGAAATCAGGTGTTCAGTAATTTTAGGTGTTGTCCTTGAGATGTTCAGTTGTGCTTCACATCAGGACATCCCCTTGCTATCCAGATGATAGGAGTTACCCAATTATCAAGCTTTCTTCCTTATCCCCTCCCAGAGGATAGCAGGAAGAGGTGGGCACAAGCAGGCAAGGGTGCTCCTCAGGTCCCCTCTGTCCAGTTCAGCAGCCGCTCTACTTCCCAAAACATCTGCTTCCCAAAACAACTGCTCTACTCATTTCCTAACTTTTCAACACTGATTCTACCACTTTTTTCATGAAGTATTGCTGTTTTTTAAACAACTAGTGAGTGTGTATGAGTGTTTGTGTATGTTTTTCTGCACTTATTTGCAAATCTTCTCTGTTCTAAAAGCGAGGAATGGACTTATGCCATGTTCTGTCTCAGTGCTCCAGATCTGGAGTTGAATTCACTGCACCCGTCTTGGCCATTTGAGATTCCACAATAGTCAAAACAGAAGATTGCAGGGAAATGGGGTAAATCTCATTTTGCCAGGAGATTTCTTTGCCTCTGCCTGACAGTGAAATAAGGACATTCAGATATATTGTTTTTCATTCCAAGCTGTGAGATTGAATGGAATATGAGGTGGGAATGATGGCCTTCTCCATGATACTTGGCCATTTGCCCCCTCCTCTCCCCTCCCCTCCTCTTCCCTCCCCTTTTCTTCCCTCCCCTTTTCTTCTCCACTTTTCTCCTCCCTCTCCTCCTCTCCCCTCTGTCAACAGCAACTTCAGTAACAGGATTGCCAGCCCACCTCTGGTAGACTTTTAAATGCTTTTGTGATGTCTTTATAAGGTATGGCTACCTCCCAGTAAATAAGATAAACGTATGATCGTATAAATATGTCACTACGGATTAATGCCCATTCAATTTATCAGTACATTTGCTGTATTTTCTCCTTTTTTATGATGGTTGAAATTAATGGGTCCGTTGTTGAGTTTGTTCATGTGTGTAGGAATTGATATGTAAAGTAAAAACACATAACAAAGCATTATATCTTCTGCTATACAGATTGCCATATTGCTTATAGTACTGACTAAGCCTTTGCATTGTAAACAAGTGTCTTTATATTTGCCCTTAGTTGCAACTTTTAGTACTATTCAGGTCCAGAAATGCAGTCTCTGGTATCTGGTAATTTGTATAGCATTACATAAAATGCTGTGAATTGCAATTTTACTTTTTCATAAAACAAGCACTTTTTCCAGCTTAACCAGCCTTTTTTCTGGCTGACATTAGAATTTTTGCTTCATATTTCAAATATATATATATATTTAATACAGATATATATATAGGTAAATTTTAAATACTATATTATATATGTTCATCTATGTATATTTATATAACAATATATGCATATTATGTATGAAACATGCCTAATATATTTATGTGCATATAAGTGATACATATATATATGTTAAATATAGCAGTACAAATGCAACCTTCAATAGTACAGAAAAGTTTCTCTTCCTTGTTTTATTCTTTTTTATTAAATGTATCTTTAGTTCTCTCTGTGTAGTGACAACTTCAAGTTTCATGCAGACGTATTTTAGTGACTATGGCTGAAGCTAAAATCTCTCAACAAGGAGAATATTATTCAAATTCATAATGCTCAAGCATATTTCAAAACTGATGTTGTATCTAAGTCAAAGTGATGTCCTCACTTGACTTCGTAGTGAATGCGCTGGACATTTTTCAGTTTTGTGGACAGTGCAGATTCTTTGGACATGTAAAATTGCTTTTGAATTATATGGCAGACTTAGCTTTTCTAGTCCATCATCTTGCAATTGTGGTTCATAAGAAAACTAAAGGTCATATCTAGTAAGACTGGCATTGCCTTAATGCCATTAGCACAGCAATTTGTAACCAGAGAGTCCTGGGCACCCAAAATATCTGGTAGACTGCCTCTGTTGTAATACAAATGATCAGCCTAAGGAATTCAAGTCTCTTAGGACTGCAGTGAATATACATGGAAAAGTATACCTACTTGTAAAAAGCAATTGACCTACTTGTAAAAAGCAATATGGACACCATGATAAAAAAACAAACAAAGAAACCAAACACCAAAAGCAAAAAGCAAAAACTACAAACCCAAAACCGAAACAGTAAAATTGGTAATAGTTTCCCATTTTGTGTGTGTATGTATGTGGTGAGAGCACCTGCCTAACATATAAAAAGGCAAAAAGATATATCATCTCTCCTAGATCAAGCATTTCCCCACTCCTAAGTAATTGTGGATGTGCAGGTGTGCTCTCTCCACAATTTGTTTTCTGTAGCTCAGTGAATCCCAAATTCTTTTCTGCGCAATGGCCAAGCTTCAGATGTAAGGGAGCACTGTATCCTGGCTCACTCCTTCCTGAAATAAGCAGCTGGTGGGGTCTAGGACATTGCTTTGGGGAATAAAATTCCTAATATCTCTTGACAAGAGTCAATGACTGAACTGTCTTGTCTCCTGGTCAGTGCTTTAACAAGTTGGCTGCTGCATACAAGGAAAGCAGCGTCCCTTCTGCTGTTGGCAGAAAGGCACCTGGTTCTGAGAACAGCTTTTCCTATGTTATATCTAGCCCCAGTCCATGCAGATGTTTTTGAAATTTCATAAACCAGTTTAGGCTATTCTCAGTGAAAGCATAAGAGAAAGAATAAATAAAAATAGGGTTATGTTTGATGCATGTTT